GCTACTCTTCTTAGAAAGCAGTCTGTAAAGTGCTCCTTATGCAGGGGACATGTCAATGGTATGTCAACCTCTACTCCACTCCATTTACTAGACCTTTTAATAACTTACTTGAGCCCTGTTAGTAAAATCTATTGTTTTTTGTTTGTTTGTTTGTTTTTGTTTTTCATTTTCTTTGTTGTTTGTGGGGGCAGGGTTGAATTTTTTCCCCATTTTTTTCCCTCCTTAGGTAAAATCTATAGTACTTTATATGTATCCTCTCCATAGTGGCAATCTCAAGGGATGCTCATTAGTTACCATACAATTACTCAGTAGGTAGCTGCTACTTTTCAAGCTGTCCTGTCACAGTTATTAAGGGAATTTACATGGTATCACACAATTGGTACCTTAAGACAGACCTGTGAGCTGAAAAAGACCAGTACTCTGAAGTGCTGACTGATGGTTTAATCTTGATTTTCAGCTTGACTGAATTGAGAAATCCCTAGAAAATTAGTACAACGCAATTCTGAGTGTGTCTGTAAGAGTGTTCACAGAGATGATTTGTCACACGGGCCAACAAAATGAGAGAAGACCCACTCTGAGAGTGGGTGACACCTTCTAATAGCCTAGGACCTACTGCTTTGATCAAAAGACAAAACTATTCAAAGTAACTACAGCTACAATTGTTTGTTAAAGGATAACAAATATAAAAGATGGTAAATTATTGACATCAAAAGGATAAAATATAGGAAGGAAAAGAGTAAAAACTCTTCAGTTTTTGCATATGATCAAAGTTTACTAGTTATCAGTTTAACATAGCTTGTTTTATAATAAATGTTTTAAATAAGTCCCATCAGAAACTTTAGTCCACAGCCTGTGGTAGATGTACAAAAGATAAAGAGAATGGAATCAAGACAACATCACAGAAAATTGTCAAATCACAGAGGAATACAGCAGGAAGGAGAAAAGAAAGGAATAAACAATGAAAAATGAGAAAATTAACAAAATGTCAATAGCCAAGTCTTTATTAATAATTATCTTTAATGTCAATTGATTAAAATGTTTAATCAAAGCACATGGAATAGAGTGGCCTGAATGGGTTTGTAAGACTTGAATAAGCTAAAGTGACTCTTGCTAATAGGTCAGAGACTGTGCTTCTTCATATGCTAATTGCTAACTTGGCTAACAGCCCACCCAGGGACAAATGGTATGACAAAAGGTAACCATAGAACATTTCCTGCATAAGATAAGCAGTGTGTTTGGTCCTCTGGTAGTTCTGTAAATGCCTTGACCTATGTTTGAACTTTTTTGTTTAGAAAAATCCTATAAAAAGGACCTCAGCCCCTGAGCAGCTGCCTCTCTGAGCTATGTGGCTCCGGGAGTACCATCTGGCCAGATTAATGAAGGTCTGTTTACCATCTAGCCTGATGTGTTCCTTCCTGGGTTTCTCATTCCTGCGTGGAGCTCCCGGAGCCTCGCTGGGTTTTAGGACCCAGCATCGTGGAGGACTTTTCCGCTGTTCACGCTCCATAGAGTGGAAGTGAGACTTAGGTCTTACAGGTTAAAAAACATGAACCAACCATGCCCTGCCTACAAGGGACTCACCTCAGATGCAAGGGCATGCATAGACTGCAGATGAAAGAAGGAAAAAGATGCTCCATACAAACTGAAACCAAAAGAAAGCAGGACAAAAACGGAATAAAACAGAAAAAGGTCATTGAATAATGATAAAGGGACCAATTCAACAAGAGGACATAGAATTGCCAATATTGGCACACGTACTTATATAAAGCAAATACTGTATGAAGAGTTCCAAAGGGAATTATAGAAATAAAAACACAATACTAGAGCTGATATAAGTGAAAACCTATAAGGAGATATTGGATTTAAACTACATTTTTAGATCAAATGGACCAAACAGACATATGCAAAATTTTCCTTCCAATAGCAGCAGAAAAGACTCCTTCCCAAGTACACATGGACTGTTCTCTAAGACAACTCATATATTAGGCCACAAAAACAAATATTAAAAACTCAAGGAGACTGAAATCATACATATTATCTTCTCAAACCATAATGGTATGAAACTATAACTCTCTAACAGAAGAAATTTTAGGAAATTCACGATACAGGAAAATTTCAGAAAGTACTCCTGAAGTAACAAAATGTCATAGAAAAAAATCAAAAGAAAATGTTCTTACTTTGAGACAAATTATAATGGAAACACAAAATACCAAAACTTATGAGATGGAGTAAAAGACCTTCTGAGGATTTTATAGATACAAATGTCTACATTAAAAACCACAAAGATTTCAAATAAATGATATTACATCTACAGAGACTAGAAAAGAAAGAAAAAAATAAAGCAGTATGCAGTGGGCAATGGGCCTGTTCATGCTATAGAACTGGATGTTTTATCTCTGGTATTGTTCAGAATTGCTAGTGCTGGTGCATTCTTGCACTACAAAAAATCAGCTTCATTAATTTTTAAGCGTATACCAGGAATTTACCCTCAGATGCCTGAGTCTGAGGTGGAATGTTCCTAACAATCCTCCAACCAGCACATCAGTAAGAGGAGAACCATGGCAGCCCAGCTGAAAGCAACCCCCACTGTCAGGGGGGCAGGTGACACGGGTTTCCCAGCTGCCTGCAGCTGCATGAGGCAGCCCAGGCAAAGCAGCAAAAAAGATACTCAGACAATTCACAAAAATCTCAAGAAATAATAAATCATTGTTTTAATCCTCTAAAGTTTGAGGTGCTGCATTATGCTGCAATGGATAACAAAAAGTCAATAAATGGATCTCTTTGAAGCATCTGTCTAGACCACAATATGGCTCTAATCCCAGTCCATATTTTCCTCTGTGTAGATCTGATTTATATAGGAGGCAGTAACTTTCTCACCTGCCCCTGCTTCACCCGATCACAAAACACAGGCTTTGAGAACGTGGACAGCTAAGATATGGCCTGTTCACACCATTCATGTTGCACCTCCAGCAGGGAAAGGGCTAGAGCCCAGAAAGGATATTCTGATGGGGAGCTGTCACTGTGCAAGGCTGGCTGTAGTTTTGTTGGCAGTAAAACACCACAACATCTTCATCTTCCACCCCATGGGTTATGAGACAGAAGTCATAGCCAGAGCTACTTCCCCAGAGCCAAGGGGCTCCCAAAGAAGCTCTTTGGTACCAAAACCCCACAGATGAGCAGTCTGGGAGACTTTTGGGTTTTTATTTGTAGCAGGACATGGAGGCTCCTACTGCCATGCTGCTTCTACAAGTGATGGAGACAGTCACCTTGAGATGCTGCCAGGGTCTCTGAAGGCTGAGTCAGGATTACCTGTCCGCTGCAGCCTGCAAGGAAACTGCTTGTAGGTAGCACAGTGTATTGTGTATTGGTTGTAGTGCTCAAAAGATTAGAAGAAAGGGAGCACCCATTGTGCTGATGAGGGCAGAGGACAGGTTCAAAACTGCTTGCACCTCTGTCTCATCATTTGCCTTGGACTCTGTCCCTCAAATTCCTAATAGAACTGATACAAAACTCTTTACATATTAAGAGACTAGAAAAAGGAGAGAAAATGAAGGAGTATGCAGTGGTCCAATCAGCCTCGAAACTGCTGTTTCCAAAGTATACTTAAAGCAGCTTATCTATGTGTTTAGGGCTAAAGTTTCAGCTTGAAATTTGCAGAGAAAATGTGCTTATCCTGAATACCCATCACCAGAAGGCAGAGAAACTGGACCAGGAATCCCACCCTGAAGGGTCTAAAGAATGTTCCACTCCTGAACATAAAGACAACGGGAGTGGAGCTGGGCAGCTGGTTACCTGTCAGGACTGCCTGGAATCAGGGTGCATGCTCAGGGAGTTAAATAAGCACAGGTTGTTTTGAAGACTGTCAGAGTGTCTGATGGCCTGAACCAGAGCTCCTCTGTAAGGGTCCTGGGGGCTGGCAGGCTCACCACACTGCTGCTCCAGGAAATGGTATAGGAGATGGAGATGCCCAGATACTACAGAGGTGGGGCTGACAGAGAGGCAGCGATGCTGTCCAATCAAGGGCTCCTCTTGAGAAGAGAGAACTGGGGTCTCCCTGTAGCCAGCCAGGTGTCAGCAGTGGGGTCACTGCACTCTGTTCATAGAGATGAGGAGTGGCTCTACTTCCACTCCTGCTAGAAGCTAAGTTAGCTGTTGGTTAGGCAACAGATATCACAGGAGTGTTCTGCTAACCTGTGAGTCTAAGGAGCCTGCTGGGCCCCACAGGCCCTGTTCATCACCAGATTCAGCAAGGAACAACTCCATGAAACCTGAAACTTTCCCTGGAGAAGACAATGCAAGAAGCAGGTGGGAAAGTGGGTTTTTCTAGCAATCCCCAGCAATATCTGAGACCAACTGAGAGACAGATGGAGACAAACACTCAGTTTTCTTGGTTCTAAATCATAGAGACAATTGGGTATTTTTTACACCTAAATGAGAGTTTTCTGTCTTCTACTGCATCAAATCAGAACTAAAAAGTTGATTCACATACAATATTTTGCAAAACATTTCAAAATGCCTCAATTAAAAAATACAACCCAAATTAAATTTATTTCTATACCTTAATAAATTCAATCCCTATATTCAGCACACAGTGAGAGGAAAGGGGAGGCAGAAATGGGTGCTACTGAGCCAGGGCCACCTATATACTCCAAGAATATGGAAGGGTCTGTGGGGGCCAGTCATGGCCCACTGGCATTTGACATTTGGAAAATAACTTCTTCCTCTACAATTAAGGCATTGATACATTTGTTAACATTTGTTTCTTTTCAAGGACACTGTTTGTTAAGCTTGTTTTGTTCTTTGACTCTGTAATAACAGGAACTCATTAGCCTAACAGGAACTCAGTTAGCCAAAGATCTGATATTATCTGTAAGAGTCAGGAAATCCATTCTTTGCATAAGATAAAAACAATTGCTTGGTGCTTCCTGTTGTTGTGTGCCTTTAAAAGGAGCTGTTTCAGTGAAATAAATCAGACTTTTCTTGGTCTCCACTCAGGCTTGAGTGTTCTTTTCTTTCTCAATCCTTACTCCCCAACTCAGGCATGTTCATGTTGTGATGGCTGGGCTGCCACAAGTGGGGCCCAAACAGGGACCAGAGTATCGAGGGATCTAGTGAAGGACACCGTAGAGAAGAAGGAGGCCTCAACAAAAAGGTAAGGAGCTGTGAATTTTCTTGTAAATATTTAAAATGGGAGCCTGCAATAGTTGCATTCTTTTTGTACATATGCTTAAAGATTTATTGTGTGTCGGTGGTGCTAGAGTAGGCTACCAGCAATTGTGTAATTTTTTAGAATTTGTTGAAATGGTTTGTCTTTGGTTCCCTGAAGAAGGCACTGTAAACTTAGATACTTGGAGTTAGGTAGGAAAACAATTACAAGATTATTATGCTGCACGTGGTCCCAGTAAGGTACCTGTGGATGCTTTCAGCTTATGGACTCTTATTAGAGATAGTCTGGATCCAAGACATGAAAGTGAAAAGGGTGGATACAACTAACCCTAGAGGACACCTGGTGCATTGAGCATTTAAACTTTAGAAAATGATTAAGTACTTGTTCTTTTTGTTTTGCTTCTGTGTATCTGGATCATTTTGGAGGTTGGGAGGTCCAGGCAGACATGCTAGTGGACTCCCCACAGCAGGGGCCAGGAGACGACCCTTGCCCCTCTGGTAGGAACTCTATCTCTCTGTTTATGGGGAGGGAGGTTGATTTTCCCCCTCCTCAGGACCCCTCTGGTTGAGACAGAGTTCTTCTGGTTTTGGAAGAGGAAATTAAGGGGATTCCCTGACGAAATCCTTGGTTCTTCTTTCAGTTTGGTTTTCATAAGCCTTTGTCTTACATTCTGTTTGGCCTCTTTTGCTCCGTCCTAGGAGTTGCTCAAATTTCTGTTCTGTGACAGTCAGCTGCTAGTGAAAACTATTTAATTTTGGTAACACTTCTTGTGCATTACAAATTCTTGAACTGTGATTATAGGGTTAACTTGTTCTTTTCTAAAAACTCAAGATTAATACTGTTCTATTGGCAGCCAGTCAAATTTTAAGATGTAACAATCTGAGAACAGAGAAAGGACACTTTAAACTGAAGTTTGTTATAGAAGGTTAATAGTAAATGAGTTTGTTAAAGAAGGTTAATAGTAAATGAGGTAGAAAAATATTAGGAAAGCTATAAGTATGAATTATACTCTTGACATGAAAGTTTTTGTATGTTCATCTTGTTAAAAACAGGTAAAGAAATATATACAAGATCAGAAGGCCTAAGTATGTAGAGAAGGTATATGGAAATGATATAATAAGAAAATATTTATGTTTGCTTGTGGTTTTAAGTCTGTTATAAAAGGTTTACATTTACAGTCAAGAAGAGCTTTCATTCCTTTAACTCTAATTCTACAAGAGATCGCTGTTAATTTTGACCTGCAAAAGTTTTGACTAGTTGTAACTAAAAGATTTTATCCAAAACCATCTGAGCACACTCTATTTAAATTGTCTTATATGTTTGTCTAAATGTTCAAAAGTGTTTGTCCAATTATGCTGTTGATCAAAATGACGTGAAATACAAATAGATTGATTTCTACAACCTGGTTCTATAGGTTAAATAAAAAACTTAAGATAATTAAATATAAATCTTTAAGTTTGGTACACTCCTGTTGGTAAATAAAGAAGCAGCTGCTCAGAAAATTTATTCTGATCTTTGTTCACTAATGGGAGCTACCCAAATAATTTTCATAGCTTTATAAAAAGATATGCCTTGTTAAATATGTTGTTAAAAATGTTTACATTGGTTATCATCAAAAGGCTGAATTCTAAATATGTTATTGTAACATGTTTATGATGGTTATCTTCAAAATATAATATTTTCTATAAAAAAAGGAAGATCCTATTGCTACAAAGCTACATTACAGGACATAAGATTTCATATAATTATAATAATTATTATTGTTACTTTCTGGTATACAAAATGTACTCGTGTTGTTTGACCATGCAGGTTTTCCAGCATATTGTTTATGATAATAACTTTTTGGTCCAGATATTCTTCCTTCTCTTCTGCTCCACCTAGTTATAGTTAGAGGTACATTTATAGACCTACCACTATCCCCGAACAGCTTGAAGCTGGGTTTCCACTGAGGAGACTGGATTGGGACCCCAACACTGAAGCAACAGAGAAAACTCTCAGTGCACAACCAGAAATTTCATTCCAAAAAGCATAATGTGACCATCTTCTCTTTGGAAAAAGGACAAAATGGAACTGGTGAGTCCCTGCAATCCCTTCCCCTGTGTGAGGAAGAGACAAAGGAGAGTAATAAAATAGTTTTGTAGAAAAAGTGTTATGTGACTATCCCTCAGGAATGACAGTTTAATGGCATGTCCCAAAAGTTCATGGTTTGGTCCCGCAGGAATTCTACTACTCTGGGTCTATTCTTTGGTGGACAGATGCAGGATTCCCTCAGACTAATATATGGAAGCTTGCTGCTGCCTTTGGAGGAGTACAATTACAAAGGCACAAAAAGAGAATAATGCTCCTTATATGTCATTAATGGGAGATGTTGCAGTTGTGTATGAAAATGTTAATGAATAAAATGCTAGCTGTTATAATTGTAATTTGACCAATTTTATATCATATGGGGATACAGAGAATTTGCTGACCTCCATTTCCTCTCTGATGATTTTATGACAGCCCCCATTTGTTACGATACCTGTTCAACTTAATGAAACCTGGTATGTAGATCAAGGATTATGAATGTTAATGGTAATTGAGAAAGCATTAAGTAGACAAAAAAGAGTGATGGGATTAATTATTGTGGGGATTGTAGCCCTTATTACTGTAACAGCTACAGCTGCAACTGTTGCAGTTGCTTTGGCACAAAAAAAATTCAGGATGCTCAGTATGTTAATGTTTTAGCTAAAAATGTGACTCATACTTTAACTATTCAAGTAAATTTTGATCAAAGATTAGAACAAAAGATAAATGCATTATATGATGTAGTTAGTCTTATGGGAGAAGAAGTACGGGTGCTGAAAGTTCATTCTCAATTGATGTGTCACCCTGATTATCAATGGATTTGTGTAACCAATAAGTTTTATAATGATTCCATCTATGATTGAGAGAACATACAAAGGCATTTGAAAGGTATTTGGTATAATCAAAATACCTCCTTAGATTTAATACAGTTACATCAAGATATTTTGGATCTACAGAATGCCCCTTCCTTAAAGTCTGATGCAGTACAAGCTGCTCAGTATTTTATCAATCAGTTAAAAGAGGTCTTACCCTCCATGGCATCAGTTACCCAATTGTTAGGTCCTGTTACTGCAATTGAGATAAGAGTATGTCTAGGATGTGTTATATTACCCATACTAGTGCACATGGTGAGTTCATCTTTGATGAACATGGCAGGAAAGATTCATGGCTTACAATTGTACGTTAAGCCTCCCATATCTACAGTCTAACCCCTGAAGAGGCTGGTAGTCAAAGACAGGTAAGAGAAGTGTAGAGAAATATCCAACCTAAGACAGAGCATGAGCATCAGAATTCTCATGGCTTGATGATGGGTAAGGGATTTCTCAGGACATTTCTCACCTAAGAAAGGCACAATCTTTCTGCTGAGCTGGGAAAGTCCCTGCTCTAAATATAATAAAAAGGGGTAAATGTGAGGGCCAGACATGGCCTACTGGCATTTGACATTTGGAAAATAACTTCATCCTCTACAATTGAGGCATTGATACATTTGTTAACATTTGTTTCCTTTCAAGGACCCTGTTTGTTAAGCTTGTTTTGTTCTTTGACTCTGCAATAACAGGAACTCATTAGCCTAACAGGAACTCCTTAGCCAAAGATCTGATGTTATCTGTAAGAGTCAGGAAATCCGGTCTTTGCATAAGATAAAAACAATTGCTTGGTTCTTCCTGTTGTTGTGTGCCTTTAAAAGCTTCCTGTTGATGTGAACCTTTAAAAGGAGCTGTTTCTGTGAAATAAATCAGACTTCTCTTGGTCTCCACTCAGGTTTGATTGTTCTTTCCTTTCTCAACCGTCACTCCCCAATTCAGGCATGTTCATGTTGTGATGGCTGGGCCGCCATACAGGGTCCCTGAAAATAATCTGATTCAGAGACTAACAGCTCCAGAGTCCCTGTGGAGGCAGCTTCTCCCCAGATGAGCAAAGACCTTCTGTGTCCTTCCTTATCCCTGACAACAGGAGACAGAGCAGGTCTTTAAGCAAAACCTGAGCAAGGTCTCACTGTGTGAGTCTCTCTAGGGAATTGAATGCATTTAAGGAGGCAAAGTGATTTATGATGGTGAAGGGAAATAAAGAGAAAAAAAGGAGAGGGAAGCAGAAAGATTGTGGTGTGTTTGTGTGTGTGTTCAGGAAGAGTTGATACTTTCATGTTTAGTAGACCAAGTATGGCCACCATACTATCAGGTTCTACTCTGTGAGGATTGAGAACTACCTTTATTTGGGGTTGCAGATGTAAATTAAGGATACATCGAAGGGGAGGTTCTAAGGGAGGTTCTAAATGTGATCTCAAGCATCCTTATGATGGGGGAGACATCATAGATGGAAGAAGGAAGGGCCATGTGGACACAGTAAAAAGACTGGTATAGTGTAGCCAAGACCAAGGAGAGAGCCACTACCAGAAACTGTAAAAGACAAGGAGCAGAATCTCCCCTAAAACTTCTGCACACTGTTCTCCCTGATTCCAAACGTCTCTACCCCAAAACTACAACAGAATAGACTTCTGTTATTTTTGGTCATTTTGACAACAACTTTGAAAGCTAGCACAAATAGGACTCAGGAGAGACAGGTGCTATTATGGTCTTTTACAATCTCCTTGTTTGTGATCACTTCGGCAGCACATATACTAAAATTCTCCTTGTTCGCCTTTCTAATGCTGCACATAAATGGGTTGGTGCAGTGTTTCATGGTAGAAAACTTTGCAGAGATAGTGAGCAACCTGACATACAGTAACCAATGTTATGGCATCAGCTTTTTTTGCAAAAAGAAATAACTCTACTGGAAGTTTATTGACAAGAGGCCTCAAATCTGTGTCCCCAGTCAGCTAGGCCAATGAAGAAGGATTTTAAGGGATTTGGGAAGTTGGCAGATCTGCTAATGTCTTGGTTCTGGACTGTACGCAGCTGTATCTTTCAAAGTTTTCACTCTTTCTGTCCTCTGTTGTAAGTTCTTGGTCAGCACCTCGCTATTGACTGTAGTCTGAGAAGCTCTGTCCTCAGCCTTAGCTTCTGCATATTTGAGGCTTTTAGCTCCCTCCAACTTGGGTCATCCTTGGATCAGAATTCAAGGCAACTCCCAAGACAGATTCTATAAACTGTTATATGTAACAGGAATAAAATTAAATTTAAAATGCCTAGCAGTACAGAAGGAGCTTAGCTCCTTTCCAATCTGGGTGGTTTTGTAGTAGGAGGTTAGAACATGGCTGGAGCAGTTGGGCATGACCTACCAGCTGAGGAGACTCATCAACCACAGGTATAGAACAACAGTGCCCAAGCCTGACAGGATCAAGCTGAGCCCTGCATCTTATCTCTGATATGAGAAACTGCTGAACCTGGCACCTGATATCAATCTTCCAGCACAAGATCAAGTGAGACCACCCAGATCTACTCTTAGAGGAGGCATAAAAAAGACAGCAGCAACTGACTTTGAGGCCACTGTCTTTCTGTTCTTGCAGCTGTCCATTCTGCTTGAAGGATGTATCTTTTGTTTTCCTTCAAAGCACCCTTGTCTCCTTGAGCACTTCTTTGGAGCTTCTTTTCCTTTTTCTCTTCATTTTTCTTATTTCTCCCATAAAGTAACAGTAATCTTTCACATTCACCTGACCAATTCACTGAATTGGGCAATAAGACCCTGGAAAACACTGTAGGTCCCTGCTCCATCCCCTAATAGTTTGGAGTGGTGAGAGGGTGGTGGACAGGATGGCTCAGTAGAGTCAAAGAAGTAAGAAGCACAGGGATCAGTTAGTGTATGTGATATGGGGCCAGCCATGTTTGTGGCTGCAATTGCCAAACTGAAAAGACTATCCTCTCATGGAGTCTTGGAAACAGAACTTTTTAATCACTTCACTCTTGGAAATGGCTTTCAGGTCCAAAGAGATGTTCCTGAATTAAAAGAGATACATATCTACAACTCCTAGCCTATGCTTAGTAAGAAGAAATTCTGGCCTATTCACCAAGGGCTCAGTTGCATATAATGAGGAACCATTAATTGTACAATAATTATTGATGACTTTTAGTATAAAATGACATCTGTCTAGTCATACTTTACACAGCCACTCATTCTAAGATATTCAAGGCTGCATAAAGCAGAGCACAGAGAACTCCTCTCTTTCATGAGGAGAGAAGCTTTCACAGCATAGGTTGTCTGGCCATGATCATGTCAGTCAGTGGTGGGGCTGGTATTTGAGCCTGGGTCTGTCTGATATCAACTGTTCCTTCCATGTAGACATGTTTACTCTAGAGACAATCACAGAAAAAAAGAAACCAGAAGGATGGTTTGAAAGTCTCAGGTCTGCTGCCTCTCCACCATACCATCATGTCCCTAACATTAAACTGAGACCTTTTGAATCCAAACTCAGCATTTTCTAATCCAAATGGCTGTAATTTGGGTTTCTTTTATTGCCCTGGCTTTTTTCTTCCTCTCTTCTTTCTGCTCCTGTATCTCTTACTTACTCTGTCCTCTCAAACTGTGCTTTCCAAACTAATTGTCCTCCTATTGTGAGGCCTATGCTCCTCTCCCATGCTGTGAGTTCTGAGGCCCAGGGTCTCAGACATCCACCACATGCAGAGTCAATGAAAGCACTTCACCAGCAGAGTCTTTCCCTAAGAGGAATTCTGTTCTCATTCCAGTAACTGTCACTTGTCAAAGTTCACCAGATGATCACAGCGCAGAAAGGGTTAGAACAGCCATCCACTCAGGGTGGGAAAAGACATTTCCTCCCCTTGTATGGGTTTCATGTGACTGCTCTAACAAATCACACACCTCACTGCCTTAAAACCACATAAGCAAATGACCTTACAATTCTGGGAGTTAGCAATCTGTCACTGGGCTAACATCATCGAGGCTTCCTTAAGAAAGCTGCAGGGGAGAACTAGTTTCCTTGCCTTTTCTAGCTTTCAGACACCACCATCTGCCTTCCTTGGCCCATTGCTCTTTCCATGCCTCACCCCAACCACCTGTCCCATCGTCATGTCACATTCCTAAATCCTATCACTCTGCTTCCCTATGCTAAGGACCCC